TTTTTTTTTAATAAATGCGGTGCCGCGGCCCATGGATCCCCACCCTTGCCTTCCTTCCCCTCCCCTTTTTAATCTAGTTACTTTCACTTTTCTTTTCATTTCTTTTCCTCACTATAGGGCTAAGTTTGTCTTGAACACACAGCTCTCTACTTAACTTTATACTTATCTTATCTTATCTAACAATAATGCTATTGTCAACTACTCTTTAAATTAAATACACGTCAATATAATTATACTGTATATTGTAAATATATATATATATAGTCATTAATTGCATTTTTATGCATTTGTAAACGGTGAGCATTTGATGGGCTATCGATACACGCACTTATTTGGGATTCCTTAGAGATTTACAATGAGTGAAATAATTCTGTTAATTCTTTTGGAGAAGGATGGAGAATAATGAGAAATAGTGGAATGTAAAGTATAGCAGTGAATGTTATCAAGGAGGAATGTAAAACATGGAAAAATTGTATGCAATATAACAGGTGAAGTTGTCCTATAATTTTTACATGGAGTTTCTATCCATTGACTACTGACTTTCAAATCTTTACTTAACTTTTCATTTGCTGAAACTTACAACTATTCAGTTTGTGAATAGTATAGTTTGAAGTAGGGTTTCTCAAACAGGATCCCGGTTGTTTTTTTCAACCCGGGAAATTCTCATCCTGAGAAATCCCACAAATTTCTTAAACGTTCACTTTTCTTCTTATTTTGTGTTAAGGTTGAGGAAATTTTGCAAATAGAAAACACAATTAATTAACTCATAAACTGTCAGAATACATTTGTATTTATTAATTTTAAACCTACTTATTAGTTTTTTTAAATTTTTGCTCGTTATGGCATGTCACAAACGGTCAATAATCAATATGTAGCTTATTTATGGCAGGACTCTCAAAATTCTTTATTTGTCAGCACCTAATATCTAGAATAATTGTGTTTAATCTGTCTTAATTTTTAACCATGCCTACTAGTAACTTCAATAACTGTGTAACGCCAGATTGTGCAAATTGGGTCAGAATACAAACGAGTACGAAGTCTGCACGTATGAAGTTTTTCTTCATAAACCTAATTATTAAAGCCAAATGAATTGTTGAATTATCAAGCTATAAGCTTGATGTTTCCATTAAAGAGCTGAAGTAGACAAATCAAGAATACTAGAGGCAAAACAAGTACTACAATCTCAAAAACAAACTAGAAATCTTCCAGGCTACAGGTGGAAAAAACATAACATCCGTCTCCTCTTAAATGATTCCACTCACATCAATTGAATCGGAAAGGGCATTCTCGGTAGCAGGACTTTTCATTACTAAAATAACCAGATTGAGTGATCGGAGTCCTGACTATCTTTGCTTTTTAAAATCTTATTAATACAAAATATTATTGTAAATTTTTATGTTTTATTTAAAAAACAATTACCTTCTAAGTTAGAAGTTTGATCTAAGTTCAATTTTTTAAATTTTCAACTCAATTTAAAACTTTTTTTTTTTTTGGTCGTCGTTGTATGCAGTGTCCAGCAAACATTAATAAATTTTTTCTATTTGTGAAAATTTCTACGTAATTCAAAGGTAATTTTTAATATATATCTTACACAGCATTATTAATATGATTTTGGAGGTTGCAGAATGTATTAAATTACTTTAAAAAATGAAAAATAATTATATCATTTGATTTCTTGATATTTTGTATATCTTAAAAATAATTAATTCTATCCCATGATCCTGGGAAACAGTTCACTATTCCCCAAAATCCCAGGACAAGCAAAAGAATGGGAAATGAGAAACCCTAGTTTGAAGTTACTGTGTCAACTCCATATTGTCATTATAGATTTAAGACTAATCGTTTTACTGTTTGTTTCATTTATCTTAAAACTCTCTTCTTTTGTCCCCTTATAAGTTGATAAATTTTTCAGCATATGAACAATTTAGAGATTCATGATGAAATTTTAATATGTTAAATTATATTGAAAATAACAAATAAGTTCAGAGTAAACAGTAAGAAAATTTCTGTACACAGAATTATTATTTTATAAATATATTTCAGTAAAATTTTGTTTACAGTCTTCCGGTATCATATGATTATTACCAAAATAAACTATGTTAGAACTACTTACATCAATAACGTATTTTTTTAATAATTTTCGTCTAAGAATTAATTTAAATTTTTTAAAACTATACACATTTTGGTTTAGTCTCAGGAATTTGTCGCCTGCGAAGAGCTGACTTTTGGACCGGAACCGATTTGGCTGAGATGTTTCACCACGTCCACCCAGTTCCAACCTCTTGGCAATTCACCATCGGTATTGACTCGATTGGCTAATTTTCTTTTCTGTTGTTTTGTGAGTTTTGGCTTTTTTTCCTTCTTGCTCGAAATCTGTGGTTCCTGAAATAAAATGTTTATTATAATTTTTCAAATTTTCTATAAATTTTATTCTGTTAAAATGTACAATTTTAGAAATGTAAACTTTACAACACATGTTTCTATAAGAGAAACATCCATTATATCAAAGTATATATGAAAAATTGACTATCAACTTTACACATAGAGTAAATGTAAAAATAATGTTTTGATAAATAATTTTGACTTGTCACAAGAAGTAATAATCTTGTAACACCCTAGAAACAGATTGCAAGTATATTTTTGTACTGTCATTGATCAAAATGTACGCTATAGTTCCCTACTTAATTTTAAAGAATTATATACAAACTATAAAGTTTTCACGTCTTGTGAAGTTATTACTTGTATGACCATAAAATATGCCTTGGTTTGACCAACTTTTTCCACTTTATGGTCTACATGTCAATAATATTTTGGTTTACTGGTCAATATATATGTAAAAAACAATGCAGGTTTTGGTTTTCATTTGAACATTCATACAAAAATGCAAAAAAGAAATGTGTGTTCTTCGAATGGACAGGTTTAAGTTTCATCTTTAATTTCTTGGTCACAACTTTTAAATTGCTTATGATTGTGCATCCCATGTGATGAGATGGTAAGGAATCCAAACTCTTCCTTGAGCTGAAACGGCATTACATTTGGTTCCTGTGTGTATCTTTTGCTGTGGAAATGGCAAAAAAAAGGAGTGTGTATCTGAATGAGATTTACAATTTCATTCAGATTATGGTTTTTGCTTTCCAAAGCCATTTTTTTTCCCTACTTTTTTCTTAATGCTATATGGTACTTTGAAGCCTGATAATACCATTCTGACTGATCTGGTGACTGAATGTAATGTTTCTAAATTGGCCAGATGGTTCAAATATCACTTTGGGTACGGATATTTGTGAATGACAGATTTTAATAGGTGTTGATGTTTGAAAGTTCTCCAAAGCCACTAGTGTAACAGTGAAAATGAATTAAACAAATATGCTTTATTTTTATCTGTTTGCTTGCTCATCTCCAAGATGACACCAGTCTGAGTGAATATTTCTTAATGTATTCCCAATGAGTTGAAATTACTCAAACTGCTAGAATGCCTTTATTTCCTTCCTTAACATAAATATAAGCATAAAAACAATATATTTATGATATTTTATGGCACAATGTGAGTGTAATATTTATTTAACTTTTTCTAGTGCCTTCTTGCTTTATGAGATTTGTTTAATATGCCAATTATAAATTGGATCATGCTTGCAATAGGGACAACCAGAAGGTAAAAGACTGGCAGAAATTTTTCATCGAAGTTTTTTATAAAAAATATTGTATGCATCATACCAAGACTGTATCAGAAATGAAAAAATTTTAAAAAGAGCAAATTTATGATGATTTCAAGACAGTAAATGTTAATTATTGAAAAAATTGATGCTAAGCATACAAACAATTTCCAAAAAAGTCAATATATTAAAAAAATCTTTTTACATTTTGTCCTTTCTTCATACTTCAGAGATATAACAGTCTTATAAATACATTGTTTTTTAATTGTATTGTCACCAGAGACAAGATTTTAATGTTTTGCATATTGAGGCAGAGGAGATCTTCCAAATAAAGATCTACTCCATCATAAGACTGTTATATCCAGAAGGTGTAAAGAATGGACAAAATGTAAAGACATTTTTTAATATATTGTCTTTTTAGAAATTGTTTGTGAATATTTAGAGTAACTGCTAATTATGTTTAATAGGACTTATCACAAGAATGAGTAACTGCCAACCCTCAAAACTATTATTAAATGGATATCAATAGAGACTATGACCTAATAAATGACCAAAGAAAGACAGGAAGACCCAAAAAAGTGTTTGACAAAATACGTATATATAAGACCAGAGACATTTTGGTCTAGATTAAAATAAAATGAACTATGTTGCAACAAATTGTATTAGACAACTAGTATATGTGCCCATTTAATTTATTTATTTAAAAAAGTTTCTCTGTGTTCTGTTTTCATAACTTTGTACTATTGATATAATTTCAATTATTGAACATGAAGACAAATAAAAACAAAGTTTAGAATGACACCAAAAATTGAACCAAACCACATCATACCATGCTACCATATTGAAATATAAAATTCAAATTACAATTTTTTTTTATTTTGCACTCTTTCTGCCCTATGGAGGGCCATTTCTCCATGCTCATCATATGTTTGGCTAGACTTCCAATGGGGTGAGTGACCAAGTAGTGAAGGACAGACATTCTGTGAAAATTTTCTGGGATTCATCTGCCCAGGATCAATTCCTGGTCTTACATTTTAACTGCCTTGGCCATCTAGCTGGACAAACTAAAACTAAAGCTAAAAAAATATTATTTCATCTGGTCATCTGCCATTTTCCCACCATGTGACGGAATGATATGCTTCTGTCTAAATAATAATCTTATTATACAGAATATTATAATGTCTGTATTTAATGTTTTAATATAATGTTATTTATATAATTTGTAAGTTTAATTATAAATTCAATTTTAAAATTATAAAACAATTACTCTTTACTTACTGGAGTTTTATCCACTGTTAGTTCTTCATTGCCATTTACATTTGGTAATAGGTTATCTGGCTGCATATCAGTAAATTCTTGAATATTTTCTTTTGCAAATTCAAATAAAGTGTAAGTCATTGCTGTATCCAGCAACATATTAGCCTGTTTAACAATATTTCAAAAATTAAACAAAAAATAATAATAATATGCATAGTTTAGAATTTATTTATATCTTATATATAATACATGAAACTATTAATTTATATTAACCATAATAAAATTATTACATATTTAACATTAATATTGCTTTTATATTTCAAAAGTTAGACATGATATTTTATCTTAATAGTATAAAATGAATAAAGAAAATAGAGTAAAAAAAATCTCTTCTAACTTTATTATTATTATTATTATTTTAAAGCTATTTCTTAGATTTTTATATATAATAAATTTTATCATAACTAAATATATTTTCCACAATAATCAAATGAACATGAAGCAAGACTGTGAACTATATTCTTTACAATATATTGTATATATGTGTACACATATACAAGTGAATAATTAAACTGAAGATCAAATCACAAACATACTATTAAAAATCTAGTGTAAATATAAAACATAATAAAATTAAAATGATCATGACTCATTTATCGCTTCATCATTTTAAACTTAGAATTTTTAACAAATATTAATCTAATCTTTCTTGAATTTACAATTTGCTTTTTACATCAAATATTACATTTATGTAATATATTAAAAACAAAAATTTTAATTAAGAATAATTTATTAAAAGTTAATAGTTTACTATATACATTCACTTTTCAATCTTTAGCTTTTGAAAGGAAGCAACATGTATAATTGGCTGCTTCAAATTTCTTTAAATATTCCATTATTCAGTTTTATTCTTTCAAATAGTTTTTAAACATTTCAGGTTTTATTTTTATATGAACTTAATATATTTATTCCTAAAGATGAATTGTTAAACTTAAAAACACTAACAAGGGGAGGTTATGTTGTGGTCCTCAGGTATTTCAATAATACTGTTTGTGTTAACAGACAGAAGTTCCAAAAACAAACTTTCAAAAAGAAAAAATGTACATTTTTAATAGAAAATAGACAGACAAAATGTATAAACTCATGTAATTTATGAATACAAAAATTTTACATAAAAATTGCATTGATTTGAAAAAGTTCACTCATCAAGACATGAGCCAGCAATCTTGCAAATATGAGTAAAAAAATACTACCTCAAACCATGTGATTTTCAATAAAAGTTCCATAAAATTTACTCATAAGTTACTTGGGATTTTTAATTTTCATTTTCTTGAACACATCTGAGAAATGTGCTTTCTCTTTTGCCCAACAAAGGTTCATACAAGGGCTTAGCCACACAACAATATCATCAAAATCCTGAGGACCTCATCATAACTTCTCCTTATATGAATAAAAAATACATGTGTATTTTATTTAACAAAATTTCAAATAGAGCAGGTATTTAGTTCATATATATAATTCAAAATTTCAGAGTTACTCCAAAATGTATAAAAGATGCTACAGAATTAAATGTAATGAGGAAATTATTGTAACTTAGCATAAAAATGTATAATTATCACGATTTACAAAATTTGACAACATATTTACAGTTTACACATTGGAGTGTATAAACAGAATAAATTAAATTACAATCAAACACTTTTAGCACATTTGTCTGTCATTAGGGTAAGCTTAGAACATCATTACCCTGGTATCACAGAATAAGTGTTAACAATATGAATGCAAATGTTTATACTGTGTTACCATGATAATGATATTCCTACTGTTTCCAGAGTAACAATGTTCCAAGTGTAACCTGATGATGGACAAATGCTCTAAAAGCATTTGATCATAATTAATTTATAAGTTTTGTGTTCCTTTAAAGCAATTTTCTCATTATATTATTTCAAAATGTTTATTGCTAAATAAATTTATATACATAAAAATTTAATATAATGTAAATAAACTACCTCTTTATTTAATCTTGAAATTATTAAGTTTTTGACTTCTGGAAGACTGAAAGTAAAAATAAATTTATTATTTATGATTTCAAATTGTTAATGTATTTGAAAATACTTTCAGAACATAGGAATTTATTAGATAAATACATTTTTAAATAATCCAAAATATTAAAGCACATACAAAGAAAAAAAAAATGTAAAATAAAAAAATATCAGCAGTTTATCAAATTAACGTTTGAAAGTTTAATCATATCAACTTTGGAGCATCGTTAATTTAACCACAAGCAATAAATAATTTTGTTAAAATGAGTGCAGGAAGACATGACATGCTAATGAACACAATTAGAAACCTAATTAGTTTAAGTGTGAAACAAATAAAAAAAATACAAGATATAAAATGATATCCCAAGATAACACTTGACAGAGATGCTATGTTTATTTTTAAACCATATAGATTGTGATTTTGTGATCAATTGTCCAGTCACATGATGGAGTGCTAGTGAGTAGAGTTGAAAGTAAACACGTTTTTAACCCTTTCGGTATTTTTAAGATGGTTGCTGTTAATCTTGTAAGAGAATTATTATGGCATACATTAATTTTAGCAGGTTACTAGATCCTTGCTTTTATCTGCCATAAAAGTAAATTTACCAATAGATCAGAAATGACAAAACTTATTTATTGTATTGCATGTACTGCCTGATTACACATTTCCAAGAAAAATAATCATGGTATCATGAGAAAATTGTCATTGTTAAGCTTTATTTTGTGCAGAATTCATCACCTGGCTCTTTGGACATCAAACATTGACTTCACATGCATATATTCTGAAAATATATCACAGGATTAAAAAATCTCTGAGCAAATGGAATATTTACTAACACATGGTTGATAGATGCCAAATTGTTATCAACACCAAACTATAACAATCTTGCTCACTCAGAACTCCAAGTGAATTGAGCATACTTGGAGTAATGTCACATCCAGTTTCTAAAGTAAATATATTTGAGATGCTAGGTATTTTCCAATCACGAAAGTAAATGCAACCTTAGTAGAATGGAAATCGAATTGTGTCGAAGAAAACGAGCAAGAGAATACAGTGACATTTGGTAAAGTGAATAAATCAATCAACTACCTGTAATTAATTAAACTTAATCAAAAAGTAATTACTATATTCAATTAAAACATAAATTTATTTGAAATTCAAAAAGTTAAATATTTTATTGACATTTTAATTTCAACAATTTATCCATCCATTCTTCCAATTTTGGTAAAAACATTTTCAAAACTTGAATCACACAATGTTTGATGGTGTATGATAAAAGTCCAAGGGGATGTGATATAAAGACTAAAATAAAAAATATCTCATTTTGAGTTTTGTTCTGGTTCCTAGATAAATTTATGTAGAGTTCATTGCCATCATTTTTTAAAACTGCTCTTGATAAATCAATAGTTTGTTAATAATGTTTTCCAGAAGCAGTTTCACAATATAATGTCAACTACTGTTCTTATAAATAAATCAAAATGAATACTTTTATATTAAAAATTATAAAAAGCATCATTAAATATGATAGCATTTCTATTTAACATTGAAAGATATTTTACAGAAATGAGTAAAAACAGCATGTTTGAATAGAAAAAAAAACAAACTGCTTTTCAGGTAATCAAAATGGGATTTTATTTAAAATATTTTTGGTCTTCAGTTTGACCAGCATCAGCCAACTATGACACACGAACCAATTAAAATCTGATTCTATTGCATAGCGAAGTGGAAGCATCAGTAATATCAAATGACTATCTACAGTATCTAACAACAATCATCCAAATAAAGTAGGAAATAGCTTGTACATTCATAACTCATTATATGCTGAGATAAAGAAGATTTCATTCTCTTGATAGTGGATATTTATGAAACAAATATAAACAATATGTCATTAGTGAATAATGAACTGATAATTTAGAACTAGGGACACTATAAAACTGTTCTATTTCAATAGAATTGAGGCAGAACATTGCATTTTTGTATTAAAATTTTTTAAATTAGTATTATTATATATAAATTACCTTTTTCTCCATATAGCCCAAATGCTGATACATGTTTGAATATGTATGAAGGACACGAGTGTTTTTATGGATGTGTATGTAAGAGTGAGAGAAAGTTGTCTGTGTGATCAGAAGAAAATGGTTGCTAGCCACATGAGAAGGCAATCCTTACATTTGTCAGCCATGGAAAGGTAATTCCTGCACTTGCTAGAAAGAAAGAGGCAATCCTTACATTTGCTTGGCATTGAGTGCTTTGTTCTTGTGTGTTGTTTGTTTTTGATATCCATTTTCCATTAGGTGTGCGCACAATGCTTTTTTTTATTTTTGTCTCCTTCATTCTATTAGGTGAACTCAACTGCATCAGAGAGATTAGACATTGTCACTTTCATCCCACTATATCTCAAAAATCAAGTCATGGACCCCTATTTTTTATTATATTTTTGGATTCCTCATCACAATTAATGGAAATGGCAAAGTTTAATCAAAACTGATTGATCAAATTTTGAGAATAAACACAATTCTGTATGCCGCGTAGAAGAGTCTTTGCTAACAATTCACATCAACTATCTGTATTTATGAGAAAATGGACGTAGAAAATATTGTGACAGATGCAGCATGATAAATTTAATATCACGCCAAAAAAACCTTTTAAATAACTTTTAATAATGTTTTAAAATTTAATTTAAACGTTACCAGTAATAAGACAAAAGAAAAATATTTAAATAGTTTTTATTGTAAATTTATTCCAATTTACTACAACATATTACTGTCATTTCTAATTCTACATTTTAATTTACTACATAATATTCATTGTTTTGTGAGAATAGTAAACATGGAATTGCTTATCAATTTTTTAATATATTTATGCTAAAACTCTGCATAATAAAAAGTGCATGAAGTGTTCCACAGGCTATTGATGATTTATCACAGTGACTGAGAATGTAATATATAACCGGTATTTTTGATTCATNTTAGGAATTCCAAATGCTTAAATTTGACTCTGTGTCCCACACAAAATTACTGGCATTTTAAACTTCAAGAAAATATGTTTTAAAATTGACAACATAACTTGTTCATATAAAGCTGGACAATCGGAAAACTGCCAATTCTTAACAGTTTAATCCACTCTTTCAGAATTTGGAGAAGCTCATAAATATAACCGACCGATTTCCGAATAATCATCTGTTTTTCATGTGGAAATAGACGAAAACTTATATTAGGCTCCCGTAAGGCTTTGAAATTGCATTTAGAAAAATGCCCCCCAAAGATTTTTACATTTTTGGACTTGGAATCTTGAAACATTGAGAAATACAGAAAAAAGTTGGGGTGTTTTTTTTTATTATAGATGTGTGTGTGTGTGTTGAGGATATAATTTTTTCATCTACTTTGAAGCTTAATAATTCCAGTACTTTTTGTTGAAAATTTCTGAAATTTTGCAGGGAGGTATGTGTATTAGGGAGAAATGTTTTTAGAAATTTTCAGGAAAATTGGACCATAGGTTTGAAAAATATGAAGGGGGTTCATATACCAAAAAACTTTTTAGTTATTAATTTTTTACTTCTACATCTCATAATAGATAGCACCACACAATTTTAATTTTTTGGCTACTGTCATAATGTCTTTTAAACTTAAAAGATTTTTTTTAAATGGAAATTTTTATCATAATTTAGCAAAATTATTCCT